TGATGGAAAGTGGTAACCGTCGCCTATAAACATGAGCAGTACCATGGACATAACAGAGTATACTGTTTCGCCCATGATACCCCCCATGCGTTGCCATTCCTGAGGACTCAGATATCATTCCTCTGTACCCAGTAAATTCACGCCATATCCCACCCTTCAAACCGAAACACAGCCATGCAAACACAACTGCTTCTCGGTTGAAACACGAATGGGACAGAGGTACCCAAGCAATCGACTTTTGTACAAAGTCTCACTCTGGTATCTATTATATAACTACTTAGTTCATAATAAAGCAACTGGCGAAAATAATGTTTGCGTAAACTGTTACGTGCGTAATTATAATGCAAATAGGCTATGCCAGGTCGCTACGATGGTGAATTGTCCATTTTCATGAGCGTTCATCATGTTTAATGCTTACATTATATAATGATAGTGCCTGTTTATAGTCACCGAATGTAAATGAAGTGGAATGTTGATTATTTCCTTCTTAATTGAAGCAAATGTTTTCGACGCAAATAAATTTATTATTCCAAGGGCAGAGGTAAATAAGTTTATGTTGTAATGATAAATTATTTGGAATAATCCATACTAATTATGTTCTCCCTTTCCCGTGGGCGTTGTCCCGTGGGATTTTAATACTCGTAGGATGGATAACAGCGTCTCCTTTTAAAACATCACCAAAAGCCGAACTGCGCTTGCCAATCTGCCTGCCAAGTGTGGCGACTATTGGCAAAATCTCTCAATAGGTGTAGGCTTATGCTCAGCAGTTGACAGTTAACATCCGATATGAATAGTATTTTATTTCTTTAATATTAGTTAATAGATTATTTTTATAATTTTTCTAAAAGGAATATGTTGGAGGGAATGGGATTGTTAACAATCCCTTTCCCTATAGTATATTCCATAAGGTCCACATCTACGTGGTTCCTCTTGAGAACCGTGTTCTTATAAATGTTGAATTCGATTGCAAAAGGCCATCTGACCTGCTTGATCTTTCATTGGTGCTTCGTCGGTGTATATCGCAGACAGGTTACAATTTAATTTTTACCCATTTAAAAAAGGAACAGTTTCTCAATTCGTCCGTTTTATATTTTTATAGCTATATTACACAATTATATTACCAATTCTAAACTGATTGTGATAACTCTCTTTATAATTACTATGATTTATTCTGTGTGGGCCTCATGTTAATTTTGCATCGACTGATGCTCCGGTGGCTACGAAAATAAAAAAAAAATTGCAGGACCAAAAAAAAGTACTTGTTACGTAGCAAAATTTACAGATAACAAACAATTGATTTTGGAGTTTAAATTAAAATATATTTTATCTCATGTACATATCTATGAAATGTTTCAATATTAATTTTTATTTGATGAAACTTTAATGCACAGTATAAATGTATGTACGTTTGGCGGAATTAATACCGGATGGCGTTCTCTACCAGTCAACCATTAAAATAATAGATAAATAGGCAGAGCATTTATAAATTGAAAGAACATAAAGTAATGTTTAAAATATTCATATATTAATTTTTGTATTTTTTATTTCACTACTGCAATGGTTATTTGTTACAAAGCAAGATATACTCTACAAATATTGTATATTTTATGGTAAACCTGATTAAAATAAAGCTAACATATTTGTTATATCCTTAGAAAAATATAAGTTTCTTAACTTTCTACATATTTATTTATTTTGCATTTTATTGCATCAAGTCAAAAAAAAAATAACAAATACAGTAAATAACAAAAAGCGGTCTTATCGTTAAACAATCTCTTCCAGGCAACATTTGAATACATAGCGTGTATATAGTTATGTGCATGGCTATTTCTATCTATGATGTAAATTTTGATGGGATATGGGATCTTATTTTTATCTTAAGCAGAACCGAGGGTTACAACTAGATACACCATAAACTCTATTAAGATATTCAAATTCACTATTGAACCGTTACTTGGTTACCCTCGTTTGGGGACTAAAACTAAACGCATTTATATATTTGAGTAGTTTAATTTCAGTACAGTTGGGTACTTTGAGGCTTAAGCCATTAGACTTAGGCCACAAGTTTGGCCCCCGTTGACCACAAAACTATTATAAGTCAATAATGAAAATGACTCCTCTAGTTCCATTCACATTGGTCTCATGATGACTTGACACTTTCGTTATTGTGCAGAACTATATAGACTTGTAATATAAAGTTATTTTGATGTTTGCAAGAGAATCATAAGCTATAGAGCACTTGATATAGAATCGCGTTTGGAAGTAATATTGCAGTACAAATAAAGGGAAAAATCTGAAAACAAATTACAAAATAAATAAATGTGTAGTTACAACATTAAAATACATTGTTCTTTTACAGTTTTTTTTTAAATTACATATTGTATGAAACCTTCTGAAAAGTCTGACTTGCACTTGGCAATTTTTATTTAATTTTGTTAGGTTCATAAGATTTACATAATATCTAGACATACGAGTCTAATCTTACTTAGCTCTTTTATTCGCCAATGATATATATATTTATTTTTTATTTTTATTAACTTTTGCCCGAGACTCGACCTTCAGGAACATTACTTCTAGGGGGGAAAGGGATTGTTAGCATTGGAGTTTGACAGCCCTATTGCTAGCAATATGCCCTATTATGTCGACCTCCTCGTGGTTCCCCCTGGAAACCATCGAGAACAATTCTTGTTAAATTCGTCACGATGGGCTAACTGACTTGCTTTCATCGTCACCTATCATCGCTCACTGGTGCCCCGCCAGCGTATCCCAATAACGCAGGCGGGGTTACCATTCCATTATCATCCATTAAAAAAACACTACTTCTAAGAAGCGCATATAATTTGCTGCAGCAGCTTTAGCGCGATGCCGGAATAGAGAGAGATAGACAAGAATTCAAATATAAAAATATTTTGGCTTCTTTAAATTTCCTTAATATCTTCTATGTATAGACATCGTTTAAGAGGCGACTGAGGGGAACTAATGGAGGGATGGGCAGTAACGTCTCTCTTAAAAGTCTAACTGCAGTTGCCAATCCGACTGCCAAGTGTGGCAACTAAAGCAGTAGACAGATAATGGCCGATATGCTTATATATATATATATTATGTATGTATGTATAATTGATCGAACCCGTATATTAGGGGTATAACTTGATTTATTTATTTATCTAGTACGCAAATAGAAAACCCGTACCTGAAACCTTGGGGAATCCACTTTATCCGGTGGTCCAATCAAGTTACTGACAACTTGTTTGGTCTTAGTTCAAACACTAAACTAATTTGCGCGAATTCCGTTACCAAATACCAAACTACAACGGGATCTATTCTTGGCAACTACATCGGTTATTTCTTACTAGTTATTTACCGTGATTTCACTCGTAAAAATCCGTTGTCTTTTGTTCCTGTGAAATTTTCGAAATGTTTCTTTGTTAATGGTGGCCGTTAATATTATATACTTATAATATCAACAACAGAAACAAACATTGGTTAACCTCAATGTTTACAGGCAATTCTATTACTAATGTCTCGTCGCCGTTGGTTTAAAAGCGACAATGTAATAAAATTTTATAAAATTAAAGTTAGTTGAAAATATGTCCACTCCAGTAAGGACCTGTATTTTCTTGCTCCTTAAATTGTTATTCGAAAGTGAACCTTAACATTGAGTTACACAGTGGCCGAAGTCATAAAAGGAAATGAATGAATAAATAAAAAAAAATATTATTCCCTTCAAAAAAGGATACAATTACATGTGTTAACAATATGTACACAAAAAAAGAATCTTAATTAAAAGAAGCAACGTAAAGAGGCAACAATGGGCGGCCTCAACGCCAAATAGCCATCTTTTCCAGGATATTATATTAAAACGTAATAATTTTCCATTTTCAGATATGTAAATTATGTGTTGTTAGATTAGTTATTCAGAACAATATTTTAAATAATTTTCGCAAGGAGATTTTTATTTTTTTATGCAACTTAGAATGGCAAACAAGCTGACGGCCCACCTGATGGAAAGTGGTAACCGTCGCCTATAGACATGAGCAGTACCATGGACATAACAGAGTATAATGTTACGCCCATGATACCTGCCATGCGTTGCCATTCCTGAGGACTCAGATATTATTCTTCTGTACCTTGTAAATTCACGTCATATCCCACCCTTCAAACCGAAACACAACCATGCAAACACAACTGCTTCACGGTAGAAACACGAATGGGACAGAGGTACTCAAGCAATCGACTTTTGTACAGTCTCCCTCTGGTAAATCGATGACTTACTGTGTGCGATTTTCAACCGATTTTGTTAATTCTTTTTACCAATAATAAGGTTTACTCCTATTTTGATCTTATTAATATTGACGACTGAAGTCTCGGATTATTTACTATATTAACTAGCTGTCTGCCTCGGCTTCTTTCAGTTTTTTTTCAGCATTAAATGGTATAATAAATAATCATAGTAGTTGGTAATTTAGGTCTTTTTTTGTGTATACATTTTTTATCTCTTTTTACTGTATATGTCTGTTATTATTTATGTGCTGTAAGTAATGCAAATAAATTATCTATCTATATATCCATCTACTATTGTTTATGCATTAATAAAAAATATATTTTATGTGTTAATACAGTATCCGAGTATAATGGCTGTCATCAATCAGTGGTCTATATCGCGTGGTCCCGACATAGAATGGACCATCCCTTCCTTTCACGTGGGTGTAAGAGGCGACTTGGGAGCTGAACGGTCGAAAGATGGGCAGCAGTGTCTTTCTTTAATCATCACCAAAGCCTAATTGCGGTTACCAACCCGCCTGCCAAGCGTAGAAACTAGTAGTTGCCACGCTTGAAAACCTCTTAGTAGGGCGAGGTGTATGTCCAGCAGTGGACAGTTAAAGACTGATATGATGGTGATGATGATGATACTTAAAAACTATGCTATTTTTTAATTTTAGATAAAATATATTGAAATTTATAATTATTTATATAATGAATTACTAATTGTTTTGTTCCAGAATTATCCAGGAAAAGGCTAGCAAATTGCTGAGACACAATCAAAGGTGATTAATATACTTTTTATGAAACGTGTTAAATAATATGTGAAGTTCTGAAAAAGGCGAAAAAAAAAATAACGAAAAACTGGTTCTTTATTTATTTATTTATTTAATACTTTATTGTACACACTAGTAATAAGAATATGACAGAGGTAATCAAATGTACAAAGGCGAGCTTATCTTATCTTATTTTTTTTAAGGCGAACTTAACTCTAATAGAGTTTTCTTCCAGCAAACCCAAAGTGGAAAGGAGTATCAGAAGAGTACAATATTGTGACAATTTTACAAACAGACAAAATTAAATTAATTACATTATATTTAATCGTACAAATACACATATGCATATACATACATCTATGCATATACTTACACACACATACACATGTATAAACATATATCTTTACTTATTACGAGAATTATTAGTTATTCTTATATGTTATGTTTATTTATCAAGAAGCCGGGTCATGGTTATGAATACTTTTAGGGTTCCGTACCTTAATAGGAAAAATGGAAGAGACAGAATTATTTTGTTGTCTGCCTGTCTGTCTATATCTCTACTAAGACCTTTTTTCTCAGGAATGTGTGAAGGTATCAAGCGCAAATTCATATTATATACTCAAATCTGCAATCTCTTGAAGCTGTGAAACATTTTTTAGTCAACGCAAGTAAAAGATACGGATGTTTATAGCGTATATTTGGACATGTTCAAGGGAATCAAAACCTATAGGGCAGGGGTGGCCGACTTGATTAGACCCAAGATCTATTGTTTACAGACGAAATCCTGTGCGATCTACCAATTAACTACCTACTTTTTGAAATCTCAAATGAAACAACATAGTTCAGTACACAATTATGTAGTATTGTAGTATTTTTTTTTATTAAGAGGGGAAACATAAAACTGAAAATTATTCTTAGTAACTGCTTATTTATATTAGTCTGAGCATCTTTCGCTAGAATAGCAAAAAAAAAATATATTTTTTGCCGTGCCACGATCGACTGGAGAAACTCGCGATCGACCTAGTATCATTAAATTTGGTAAGAAACAATTTTGTATAACACAAGTAAAAGCAAAAGATTAAAAACTGTAAATTAGAAGTTACGTCATAATTTTTTTACTTTTTTTTTCAAATAATAATTTATATTCAATTATAGGGTACTATCAGTGTACGAGTTCGACTCGAACTTGGCCGTTTTTTATCATAAGTATTATAAATTTAATAAAAAAAGCTATTTAATAAGTAGCTATGCTATGGCATATGTTAGGTTGTTTTTAACGGGTGAAAATGACATGGTAACTCCGCCTGCGCTATCAGTATACACTGGCAGGGTACCAGAGAGAGGCGATAGGTGAGGATAAAAAAGCAGGTCAGTTAGCCCATCGTGACGAATTCAACGATAAATTAGTCACGATAGTTTCCAGGAAGAACCGCGTGGAGTTCAACCTGATACGGCGTATTGATAACAATGGGATCTAATCTCCTCATTACTATAAATCCATTCCTTCTCCCCCACAAAGTTAGGGTTGTCACCCGTTAGATATTTGTCCGGGTGTGCCCGGACTTTCAGCATACATTTTGAAATAATATTCATCTTAATTACACTCGTTCATTGACCCCGTTGAAACGTGCACTGATTTTATTATTTCGTGTCTAAAAATACCTAAACTTGTCTGAAATGTCCGCGTTTTTATAATCCAGGCACAGAGTTTTAGTTAGCTTGCATGCTATTTTCAGTATTATCATTTTTCGTCTCTATGAGTGTAATTGTCTATGAAATGTTTATAAAGTCTGCTACCCGTGCGAAAGTGCCGCTATCTAGTGTCAAAAGTTTTTAGGCCTTATTAAAGAATCAGCAATACAAAAAAAAATTATATAGAACCATCAATTATTATCCCCATAATATTATAACAAAGAAATAAATAAAAGAAGAAAAAAGAAAAAGAGAAGGAGCCTATATCATCCATTGATACCATCTAGCAAGACATGCTGGCAATCCGGGCGATGTAGTTACCTCCGGTGATGATTCAGGGGTATGTTTATATATTATCTATATACGCTGGCCGGACGCTAGTGAGGGATGATAGGTGAGAATTAAAATGCAGGTCAGTCAGCCTATCGTGATTAATTCACCTGGAACCAAGCACGATGGTTTTTAGGGGGGACCACGAGGAGGTGCACTTGACAGAGTACATTGCTAGCAATGGGGTTTCTAATGGGTGACAATTGAATGGTAATCCCGCCTGCGCTATTGGTATACGTTGACGAGGTAGCATTGAGATAGGTGAGGATGAAAGTATCATAAAGTAATCATTAAGTGATTGATTGGCCCATCTTGAAGAATTCAACAAGAACTAACCATGATGGTTTCCAGGGGGAATCACGTGGAGAGAGGGTATATTGCTAGCAATTGGACTGTCAGATCTCCATTACTGCTCTATACTCGTATAATAAGTAAAAAGTCAACTGAAAATCAGCAGTGTTCATTGTAACTTCGGATTTATTCGCGTGGGGTGTTCACACTGTGATTTGTCGTTTGGGAATTGCAGTTGAGATTAGGCAGCTCGTGACGTAGGTACGTGTCTCGTTTTAAACCGTAGTTTGTGGTTACCAGCGACCGTAAAACGAATCTGGCTCGGCGACGAGGTGTGAATACTAGATCTTTATGTTACTTATATTTTATCTATGTAAGTTTATAAAGCTAATAATAATTATTATTAATATTTTGTGACCTGATACAGGTATTCTTATACCTATCTCAGGCACCAGTCTCTCACAATTATATTTATAATTTGATTACTTTAATATAAGTATGTCTCAATGTATTTCACTGTGATTAATTGTGAAGAGGAAATAAATCTATTTATTTATTATTAATTTAATATAATTCAGTATAAAAATACATAATATAGGAAGTACTTTAGTACTTTTATATAAAACAAATTATATTTTAATATACGAATAAAAAATATTTCTTACTTGAAATAATCATACTATTTTCTCTTTTTATTGTACGCACACTGCCCGCTGGTAATTAATGCTCCTTCCCGTTTAGGATTTGCTTGAAGAGAACTCTCACATAGTTAAGCTTGCCTGTTGTACATCTTTATTTAAAATAAATTATAACAATGTAAAATTTTTATATATATATATATATATATATATATAAATAAAAAAAAAATATATATATAAAAATATATATATATATATATATATATATATATATATATATATATATATATATATATATATATATATATATATATATATATATATATATATATGCATATTTTTCGTATCAAAACTTAGTGACATGTAAAAAAATAAATCTATTAAGGTTATTTTTTTCGAGTATAAAATCGTGTTTACGGCACTATATCTATTAACTGTTAGGTTTTTATACAGCTTTGATCTCAAACCGTTGTGACTACAAAAGGTTTATAATATTAATGTAAATTAAAAACCTCCATTTCGATTTTACTTTTAATCTCGTCGCAAAGTTACGAGGCTGTGTGGAGATTATTAAGCCACACTTTGTACTCGTAAATGTATACGGTGAAGGATCCCAACTTATCAGCATTTCACTTTGCGAGTGAACAAAAAAAGTCGATCCCGTTCATTCTTATACTCATATATTTTCCTCACCAACGACTTCAGAATATATATTTTGTATTCTCGAATTATCCACGAAGGTCGTATGAAATAAAAGTAATTTGTGAATACCGCGTTTCCATACAAAACGCTTGCTTACCATAATCTCGAACTTTTATAAATGTGTTGTGTCTACACATTTTCATTGTGACAATGTGGTCTGAATAAATATTACTTTTATTCTATATGAGATTCTTTATTGTTTAGTTAAACTTTGTTGCTTTGTTTTTTTGAAGACTTCAAAAATAATTTGAAAACGAATTGCGGGATTATTTTTTAGTTGCTAATGGCGGATATAATGGTACTAAATTTGAAGGAAAAAACATAGTTATACCTTAAGACAGATTAGAAGGATACCGCATATCGATAATCAATAGTGACAAAACAAAATAGTTTAAAGTAACAATCGCTTTCAAACTGATAGCAAGTGGCTTTCATAAATGAAACGAAATGAAATTTTAATTTTAAAATAAGATGATGCCCATTATGTTTCATCACATTAAATGAAAAAAATAAATAAATACATATATTAGTTACTAATATTATTAGTAAACTCAAGTTTACAGATAATATTTTTTTTTCAATTTATTATTTTATATAATATTATATAATATATAAAGCAAAATATATATGTACGTATAAAATATATGTAAAAAATATATGTACGTCTCTGATTATATAGAGTTATACAAATCGCCATGCTTCGAGAAAAGCGGGTTTTTTATACAATTTTGCGTGATAAACAGTTATGAGTGATTCCTTTATAAATTCTATATTTAATTTGTCCTCTAAATTCTGCACCTTTTTAATGCGCCGAAGTTAATTTTATTTATTAAATAAATATAGAAACGTCGAGATACATTATGTGCTTAAATATATAGAATATTAATAGAAAAATGAGTCAGCTAATTAGAAAATTAACTGAAAAAAGTTGAGGCTCGCTGCTCTATCTATATAATCTAAGATGTATGTATATAATCTAAGATGTACGTATATAATCTAGTTCCGAGACATGATTTATTTTTATAAACAAATAGATACAAGTTCATCCCTCTTCATCTGTCACCGCATCCCCCTTGCATAATATTAATGTTTTTCCATATAAAAGTACAGCGCCGGGTTTTTCGCAACTTTCACCCATACACCTTTTCACGCGTCGTTAAATTATGACAGAGTGTTTTCAAACTGAGTAAACCTTTCAGGGGGTGCAGATTTTTTCATGATTTTGTTCTGATTTATTCAGATTGTGATAGCTTCCTTAGTGTAGCGGTTTAAATATACTGTCTTACCTTTTTATGTTGTCAGTTCGATCCCGGTCAATACAAAATTTTATGTCCATTGTTTTGTTGCAAATATATG